AAAAACCAACATCCAACATCATACTAAATGGTCAAAAACTGAAAACCTTCACAATAAAATCAGGAAAGAGACAAGGATGTCCACTATCACCATGCCTGTTCAATATAGTTTTGGAAACATACACCACAGTTATTAGAAAAGAGAAAAAATAAAAGGAATAAAGATAGAAAGGAAGAAGTTAAACTGTCATTATTTGCTAATGATATGATGCTCTACACAGAAGACCCAAAAAACTCTGCCAAAAGACTTTTAAACTTAATTGACAGATCCAGTAGAGTAGCTGGATATAAGGTCAACACTCAAAAATCAATAGCCTTCTTGTACATAAATAACAGACTCACTGAGAGAGAAATTAGGGAAACAATTCCTTTCACAGTAACATCCAAAAAAAAATGAAATATCTAGGAAGCAATCTAACAAAGGAAGCAAAAAACCTCTACACTGAAAATTATAGCATTTTGAAAAAAGAGATCTAAGAGGATAACAGAAAATAGAAAGACATACCTTGCTCCTGGGTAGGAAGAACCAATATAGTGAAAATGACCATATTTCCAAAACTGCTATACAGATTCAATGCAATCCAGGTTGAAATCCCAACAGTATATTTCACTGAACTAGAGAAAAAAATCCGAAAATTCATTTGGAACCAGAAAGGCAAAGAATAGCAAAAGTCTTTCTAGGCAACAAAGACAGGGCAGGGGTATCACAATCCCCAACTTGAAACTATACCACAAAGCCACTGTGTTAAAAGCAGCATAGTACTGGCAAAGAAACAGACCTGAGAATCAGTGGAACAGATTAGAAGATGCAGAAACAACACCAGACATGCTCAGCTATCTCATAATTGACAAAGGAGCCAACCATTCTCAATGAAGGAAAGACAGATTTTTTTAATAAATGGTGTTGGAAAAACTGGCTTTCAACTTGCCAAAGATTAAAACTAGACCCCTATCTTTCACCATGCACTAAACTAAAATCGAAGTGGATTAAAGATCTAAATATTAAAACAGAAACACTAAACTTGCTGGAGGCTAAATTGGATCAAACTCTCAAAGATATTATCATAAGAAAAGATTTTGTGAACAAATCCTCAGTGGCACAGAGAATCAACAACTGGGATCTCATCTTATTAAAAAGCTCCTGTACTGTAAGAGAAATCACCAACAGAGCTAAAATGCAACCCACAATGTAAGAACAAATTTGTATCTGCTATTCCTCAAAGGTCTACTATCTCAAATGTATAAAGAACTCAAAAAAATCAGATCCCCCCCCAATATAAAGACCCAATTCAAACATAGGCATCTGAAATGAACATTTCTCAGACAAATAAAAGCAGCAAATAAACATATGAAAAAATGTTCAACATCACCGATCATTGGAGAGATAGATGCAGATGAAAATAGCACTGAGATTCTATCTCACCCCAGAAAAAATGGCTGCTATCAAGAAATCAAACAACAAATGCTGGCAGGGCTAGTGGGAAAGGAACTGTTCTTCATTGTTGGTGGGAATGCAGACTGGCGCAACCACTGTGCAAATCAATAAAGACATACCTCAAAAAACTAGGACTAGAGGTTCCATTTGACCCATCTATGCCTCTGCTGGGTATTTTTCCAAAAGAATTAAAAGAATCAAAGCACAGTGATATATAGCGGCACAGCTTGTAATAGCTAAAACTTGGAAACAATCCTACTGTCCATCAACTGGAGACTGGATGAAGATGTGGTTTTTCTATTAAATTGAATACTACTCAGTCATGAAGAATGAGAAACTAGAGTGACTTATAGCTAAGTGGATACACACTGAGGCCATACTCTTAAATGAAATAAATAGGACACACGTGTAAATATCTAATAGTTTTTCTGGTGTGAAAAACTAAAAATGTAAATAAAGCTCAAATTGTATAATTGATAATGTGAAATAGGAAGAAAAAGATCTAAAGGAGTAGTGGAAGTGGGAAGGGCAGGGGAAAGGAAAGAAGGAAAAAGGAAAAATATGAGAAAAGGGAAAAATGGAAACTATCTTTGTAAATAGGGAATGGTGCAGGGGGTGAAGGGAGGGCAGGGGTACGGGGAAAAATAAGAACCAAGATACATCATGTAAAGGTACAAGTTCCCAATGGTGAATATAGCTGTATTTTATGCCAATATTTTACCAATAAACTTAATGGGGGAGTGAGAAAACTGTTAGTTCTGGTTAGCTTTACTTAGGTAGATTCAAAAGTATTTGAAGGTCAAAATAGGGTATTTAGTTTTTCTTAATTGACATATGTTTCCACCCGCATATTCCTTATTCATGGAAAGAGACAAAGTGCAGTAAAAGTAGACACATTCCTAACAAGAACAAATAAGGCTATTTGAGCTCCAGTCATTCCTAACAAGAACAGATAAGGCTATTTTGAGCTCCAGATCACAAACTTGCAATCACTTTCATAGTATTTTGTGAAAGCTTTTATAATGCAGTGTTTATGTTTGCAATAAACTTGTGAGATAGATCTAATTATTATCCTAATTTTACAAATAAGAAGTGAATGATTATTCTGCTAGCTGATTGGGTCAAAAACAGACCAGCAGGCGAGACCTGGCTTCCATAGCCTGAAGTCTGCTGGCTGGCTTCTGGTCCCACTGCTGGAGTGCTTCTCCACCTTTTAAGAGAAGTTCTACTATACTGTCTTGAGAAATGTATAAATTTCTTTCTAATCTCTAATCTCTAATAATATAGATTACATTCTCTGCCAAGCCTAGTAAGTTGTGCTACGAAACTCCATAGATTCATAAACATAAATGTTGAAACTACATCTAAGGCACCCTTCTGCTTCCTTTACATTCTTTGGTACAGACTTTCTGACTTTTCACCACACCGCCTCTCTAATCTTATATTAGAGAATGTCAGTCCTTTTACATCTGAAATGCCATTTTCTTAGTTATTAATTTTTATTTGCTTATTAATTGCCTAGAATAGTTCTTCAACTTAGTTAAGGCTAAACAAATATATGAAGAAATGTGTGTGTGTGTGTGTGTGTGTGTGTGTTGCACATCTGAAAGATCTTTCTCATGTGAATTACAAAGGGCTTGTTTAAAATTCTTTGGGCACAGATTTCTCCCTCAGCAGCCTGTGTGTGGCTGTACTGTCCTGTGGCATCTGTTTTTGCAGAGAAACGCAAAGTCAGCTGGCTTCAGTCCGACTCATGTAATACTTACAATTTTTATGCTTTTTTTTTTCTGGGTTGAAGGTTTTTAATGCAAGTTCTTTAGTGTTTGCATAAAATTGGGAATATCTGTCTTCATACTAATGCCTCTTTTCACTAATCTTCGTGGTGGAAACTTCTATCCACATGGTCTTTGTCTTTGTCTATGTTTTCTAAAAAAAAATTCCAGCCTGAGACAAAGCTCACGAGCTCAAGCTTTGTGGAAGGCAAAATCCCAGGAAATCAATGCTGACGTTCATGCAGAGAGGCAGAGAGTGCAGCTAGGGCTTCCTGAGTTACCAAATGAGCTGGCCGATCCCCTGGTCCTAGCACAGGTTTCACGGAGGCGGAACCTACACCTTGGCACCATCCTCACGGCACAAAAGTGGATTTATTCGCTGTCTCTCACAGCTCGAGGTCCCAGGGGTTTTCATTTTCCTTCCTTTCCTGAACCTGGCACTTTTGCCTTTTCCAGGAGCCGTTGGGAAAGCCTCATTCTGTGCCCAAAAGCAAGATGCCTTCTCAAAGTTCAGAAGTGTGAAGAGAGAACTGAGCTTCTAGAGTTTCTGTGACCTGCTTGGCCTGTCCGTGGAGACAGGCACAGGCTGCAGGGACAATGCAAATCACCTGAAAATGTCTCAGTCCTGTGGGTCTGGCACAGTCTCCCACAGCCCCTTCCAGAATGCCTGGAGTCACAGGCAAGGATGGAGACTTAAAACAGTGCTGGAAACTAGAACTGACAGCTAATCTATTCCAGAATGCGGTAGAAATGTCCAGTAACTATGAAGCAGATGGGAGTGAAATGAAAGAAATACTCAGCCTGTGCCATGAGGAGAGAGACTGAAAGAAGGCAGCGTGGTCCTCATCTCTACCTGGCCCCCAGCTAAGCAAACATGAGTGCCTCAGACATCACTGAGCTTCTCTGATGCATCCGTTGCCTTTCCTTCTGTACCCTATCAAGGACCGTGGCATCCTGAATGCCTGTCGGGAGGGAAGAAGGCCTGAGGGGCTGTGTACTGGGAGGGAGGTGGGAGCGCTCAGGTGAAGCATCAGAGGAAGGTGGAGAGAGTTAAGGGTTATCCACAGCCATGCCTGGTGAGGGTCGTGTGTGTGGGGGTGGGAGACACAGACAGAGAGACAGGGAGACACAGAAACCCTGAGAGAGACCCAGAGAGACAGAGAGAGAATGTGTGAAGGCCGGGCAAGGGAAATAGAACTGTAGGTTCAGAAAACACAGCAGAGGAACACCTGCAGACACTGTGAAATTCTCTGCCAAAACACTCTCTACATTGCCAGAATGTAGTACGGACAGAAAGTGGGATCAAAAGTGAACCGTAGAGCGTCTCAAGATAGATTGGCTTTCATTAGAATGAAGAAGATAGCAAAATACCAGCAAGAAATCTGTGGGAGAAAAATCTCCCCTCCCTCTTCCCCGTTATCCCGTTCCTCCTAACAGTGTCTTCTGCTTCCACGCCATCTTTTACATTTTTTAGTAGACCCCACACGTAAGGAGAACCACGTGACGGTTGTCTCCCGGACCTGGTGCGTTTCGCTTAGCGAACAGCGTCTTAATGCACACGCGACGTCACGACTAACGCACAGTTGCAGGCATCGGGCGGCTCCGCGTGGAATCTTCTCCCTGACGCTGGCTGCCACCTGATTCTGTTTCCTTGTCTGGAAGGGGACACGGAAATGCTTCATAATGTTTTTTCTTTTTTTTTTTTTTTTTTTTT